CTCAGCCTGAGAGCCGGGCGGGCAGCGCAGAGGCTCCGCTAAAGCTGCTCCCGGGAAACCCGGAACGAGCGGGCCCCGAGCAACCCCGACGCGCCTCGGTTTCCTCAGGAGGCATGAGAAGGGTTGGCGCCATCAAAGAGGTTTTACGCCGTGCCTGCAGGGCTGCGCTAGGGGGTAGGGTGGCTCTCCTTCTCGGCGCTCTTTGCCAGCTAAGGAGGGCTTCTGGGCGCTGCTTCACAGCTGCCAGGACTTGAGTCTGACTCGGAATCAGTGGGGTCTTTGTTCCTCGCTTGTGTCGTTTGCAGGTGTGTCCTGGACAGGGTTCTTTGCTGCCCGTTGTTCAAAGAGCGTTCTTGCAGAAGCAGCCTAATTTAATTCATTTATTGCAACGTGTGTGGGTGGGGATTCGTGGGTTTTTTACAGTAATGATTGTTCTTTTTTCCTTTTGTTGTGACCGCAAAAGCAAATATTGTATTGTACGCTTGCATCATGGGATCTCTTCTTGTTCCTCGGGGTAGCAACTTTGCTGATTTGCAAAGTCATGTGTCCTGCAGGGCTTCAAATCTTCCTGAGGTGTCATTAACGGTTGTGTTGTTAAGTAGCTGGTCACGATTCCTGAACAGAGACAAAAAGATACTTGTTCAGAACAGAATATAGAATCTAATTATATATTCGTTTTCTCAAGTAGTAAGACAGTATCTTTGTTACTGTAAATATTTCTCACTAGTAATGTAATGTGTTCACTTCGTTTCAAGATAAAAGGCGTTCACAAATGTGTGCCCTTCACGGTCATTTTTAATGTCTACACAGCATCGGGTGGGGAGAGGAAGCAGTTGATACATGTAACCGTGCATAAACATTCTTCCTTTTCTTTAGCTAGTTGGAAAACTTGCAGCCTGAGATTAAAACACTAGCTGAGCGTCTTCGCTATGAAGTTTCTGTTCGTGGGAAGCAACTGGGTTGGTCTGAAAAGGTGGCCAGGTAAGATGGTGATTGTACGTACCTCATAAATCCGTTCCAGATTGAGGGGTAGCAGGAGGGCAAGCCCTACAAACAACAGTCTTGCAGAAAGCTTCTGCTGTTGCCCGTAGTTTAGATTTTCTTACCGCTTCTATGAGTTATTTGTGTTCGTTACCTTGTCCTTCAGACCATATCCATTTTAAAGCTCCGGACTTGCGATGGACTTACGATTACAGGGCCAAATCCAGGATTGTTTTTGTTGGTTTTACTTCTGGCTAAAGTTTCCTTAGCTATTGTATGTAAATACTGCTGGAACTTGAGGCTCGAGTGGTTGTGGCCCTGTTGGTTTGTTAGTGTCGCACGGTGCCCCGTGCAGTAGCAGCGTGTCTGAGCTGGGCTACCCAGGGTCACGTAGCTGGCTGATGGCCTCCGTATTGCGAAGGCTGTACCCTAGTTCAGACAAAAAGCACCGTGACATAAAATATCAGACAAGTCACTGGTAGCTGCCAATGACAGCGGGAAATTTTTTTGTGAAAAGCTGCTTATAGCAACAGGGCAAAAGTGGTGAGGGAAGGGGGTTAGCAAAGGAGGGAGGTTTCTTTAAAGAGGAAAGACGCTCAGGTTTTCCAGAGTTGTACCTAACGAAGCCAATTTGCCATACGCAGCCTGTAGAATTACCCTTTCAGAATTTGAAAACTTTATTTTTTCTTTGTTTTCTTTGTAAAAGGTTCCACTTTAAGAAAAACCTGCGGAGGATTATCACGGACCTGTACATTCGAGACAACTGCCATCCCTTCAAAGCCACTTTACTGGTGTGGGTGCAAGTTCCAATGTGGGTTTGCGTGTCCCTCGCTTTGCGCAACTGCAGTGTTGGTGCCACAGACTCGGGAGGTGATTAATCTCAACAGACGTGCTCTTTAACAGCCAGTTTTTGTTCACTTACTGTTTTTCCAGACTGTTTGCTGGTCAAAGATGTGATCTCCTGAGCTTGATAGAGAAGCTGATATAAAAACTACTCTGCTACTAAGTATTTAAATTTAATATACTTAAAGTGTAGATAAATATCTGATAAAAATGAATTTCAAAGACTTTGATTGGGTACATTGTACATATTGTACTAGATTAAACCAGGGTTTATATAACGAAAGAACTTGTGTCTGGACCACACCTCTGCTTTTCTTGGGCTTGAACTCTGCCAGCAGGCATTGGCAGCATCCAGAGCATCACCGATCTCCGCTTATACACCCTCGTTATTTGTCATAGCTTGTGAGCTTTGTGGGATGCCTCCTTAAAGGCGGTGTCGGGGTCTGAGCTCTGGGAACAGCGAGGCCTTTTGTTAGGCTGTGTGAGCGTTTAATTGTTTTGTGGCCTCCTGAAGACAGGGTTATTAGAAAAAAATTTGTCTTGGGATTTGTCTGGCTCACAGGATGAGCGTATTTAGCACGTAATATCACCCGTGCCAGAGCACGTTCACTACTGTCTGAGTTCTTTTCTGCCATGTGACGTTCCGCATGAAGTACTACAGGCAAGGTGAATGTGTGGATTTTTTAAATAAAAATACTATATTTTGATTTTTTTCCTTAGAAAAGAGTTTATAGTTTGTTCTTCTAAACAAAAACGTAACAAGTTTATGTAGTTACTGAGAAAAATATCACTATTTGAAAAACATAAAATAAGTAGTCACTGCAGGTTTCCCTCATTGGCTTGTAAAGCGGTGGTTGAGATCAAGCTAGTTTTTATTGCGGGTTTACCTGAATGAGTGGCTGTCACGAGCTAAGCTGGATCGCAGCTTGTGTCTCCCACCGTTTTTCCCTGTTTTGACAGCAGACTGCCTTGATGCGTGATCCGTTGAACCAAAGGTTTCTGCTGTAACGGTTACTTATCGTGTAGTTAAAATATATCTGGAAACTCGGCTGAATTGATTGTAATGCATGGTACGGTTCTGAATAACTTGAGGCAGCAAATCATACTTAATTCCGTGTTTTCTTGAAACTGTGTAGTTCAAGAAGAGTTATCAGCAGGCGGAGCACTGTGGTTCACAGACCTCACGGCACCAGATTCTACGTGGATTTTGCCAGTTGCGCTCGGGCTCGTGAATTTGCTGATAGTGGAGGTACGTTGCTGGGATAAATAGTGACTGCAAAAGGATCATTCCTTTTCCAGGACTGTAAGACAGCATTACCCAGTTATAGTATGTGGTAACGTAAGGGTAGTTTCCGATTCTTACTGCTTTAAATGCACTGGGCAGAATGGAAAAAGAGCAGAGCGGTCCTGTGTGTTTGAATGTGGGGGTGTCTTGTTTAGGGCTGACAAATTCTGATGTGACGTGTCTTGGATACTTGATTGGCTTTGCTTGAGCCCCAATCAACTTAGCTAATCTCCACTCTCAAGTTTCTCTTAGAATGATGTTTTAATGAGTTTCCTGGGTGTTAAGCATCCAGGGTTTTTTTTGTTTCTTCTACCCGCCCCTCCCAATTATTCGTTACTGCCTTGCCATCAAAACTAACGATATTATGTGTTCTTCTTAATAAATGGAAAAAATCCAGAAGTCTTTAAGACTGCTGGAGAGACCAACCAACAGAAGCAGAAAAAAAGAGTAATTTCCCATTTTGGGGGGTAATTTAATGGAAATATTTTTCTTCTTGATTTTTCTGTTAGGTGTTCTCATCAAACTCTAACCATCTGGATTTCATTCTTAACCAATTTTCTTCTCTGTCACATGGACTGAGATGGTCTTAGAGAAAAAAAAGTCAGTGTGTGACTGTCGACCTGATGCTGCTTTCGTTCAGTTACCTCTCGACTGTTCTTGGCCTGTTTCCTGCTGGCAGCCTTGTCTCGGAGGGCTGTGCTTCAGGTGGAGGCGCTGGAACTTTGCGATGTGCAATGGGGACCATGTAAGGTTAGCTTACCTCGAAACGACTGCTAGGGACTCTGCTAGCTCGGTGCAGTATTTGCTACAAAGGACCAAACGCGTAAAACATCAAACAGGTTAAATGACAGGTTGTAGCAGTGCGTTGATGGAAACAGAGGGTGCAAAATTGAAGTAATAGGTGAACAAGAACACTGGGTTGCAGGAAACTCCACTGTTGCATTTTTTTCTCTTTTTAGTTGTTTCAAAAAGAACTTGTTTATATAAACTGTGGGTTTCTCTCCTTTCAGATCTTTGCTTCGCAAAAAATGGAAGTTTCCAGGTTCCAGAAACTTGCTACGAATTTCTTCCGAGTGGTGTCCGTAGTCATGATCCCTGTTGCTGCAACAGTGCCCTCTGTAAGTACGGAGCCTTAACGGCACGTCCGTTAACCTGTGGCTCTGGTATGTTCTTAGTGCCTGAAGAGCAGCCCAAAGGCCTGGTGTACTTCCTAGACCACACTCTGTATTACTGTGTGCCCTAAAACAAGCAGCATGTTTTGTCTATGGAAACATGTAAATTCTTAACGCGTTTGGAATGGTTTTGCCCAGGAGGGAAGAATCTGCAAACTTACTGTTTTTAAATATCGTTTTTGCAAAGTGGGGCGTGGGAGGACGTTCCGAGCGGGTTAGCATCCTTTTTGTCATCTCAAAAATGAGAGGAAAACTTCATATAAGGACATCTAGAGAAAGGTTTGCTAAGTGTTTGCTTATCGTAAGAGGAAAACAGCGTAGTTCTTAGATCAGGAAATTTCCACAATCTTCTTAAAAGACTTCTCCATTTTACCAGGTGTTCTGAGTATTTTTGCAGTGGTTAGCAAAAGCAAAGTATCTGGTTGTTTGGCTCATCAACTTACAGTCTGAAATGCAGAAGTGTAAGCGAGTTTAATATGAATTAACATATGCACTGTTGCCAAACTTCAGTGTAGATGACACTTTTTTCCAGAAGAGTTGAGAGAGAGAGTGCAAAATACGTTTGAAATGGAATCCATTATTGTTATTGAGAGGAGTGGTTTTAGGTGAGTTACTTTTCTCGATAACTGGGATTAACTGGTGGTTGTGGTTCATGAAGAGCTGCCTAAACCTGCAGCGTTTTCATCGCATCTAGGGAGATTGAACCCGGTGTTTGTCTCGTTGCAGTCCATGGCGTTGTACTGGCTGTCCTCGAGCTTCATGGGGCTCTCGCACAACCTGTTGCTGCGTTCTCCGACCTTCCGTCGACTGTGTTGCATACCACGGACCAAATCTGAGTCGGATACTCCTTACAGGGACATTGTGTCTGCCTTGACTTCCAAATACAGCTTTAAGAAATGATGCCAT